GACCGTCAAGCCAAATAACGAACAAGTCTCAGTATACTTACCCCAACGGCAAAGCTGTTTCGCATGTTTAGGTTAGTCACTAATACCGAAGACACGACCTGAACTCACTCGGGCATTAGAGCCAAGAGAAGGTCATCACTCTTTACAGATGACTTCATGTGTTCAATAGAAGCCTATTTCATCGTCTATATGATGTGAATTAACGGCGATAAATTCAATTATTAATAATACCTTCTGAGCCTCGACCCTTTTTTCGTAATATCTGGGAATGTCGGGGAGAGTCTTAGGGAATGTCAAAACCACGAAGAAAACAAACCAAAGTAGCCATTAATGGAGGCAGAAACTTCCTTGAGATGGCGGTACAAGGTCTCTGGACTCTTGATAAAATCAGCTTGCTCCTCTTTCGTGTCTATAAGAAGGTAACAACTGTCAGGTATAGATATGAGGACAAGGGTAAGATGGAGTTACACAAGAAGTTCTCATTGTGCCATTCATGGCCTTGGAGGAGTTAAGCGTAAAAAGGGTCGGAACGACCTGATAATAGGTGAGGATATAAGTTCAAGTTCGAGCATTGTTTCAGGTAAAACTAACCCAAAATTTAGATCTACCATAAATATCGAGATTCTTGCAATGTGGAGCAATGGCACCTATAGTCTGAAGACTGGAAGAACCGATACCTATTACAGCACTGGTAGAGATCTTGAGGATAGGTGGCGGAAAGATCAAGAAGAGTGAAAACGACTTACACGCGTTCGTCTTTGAAAGCGCTCTGCCAATCAAGATCACAGGCCACTCAGCAGTGTGAAAAATCCGGGTTTCGTGAATGACTCCAGACCAGGAATCGCTGGATGATTTACATTACTATGAACACGTTTCAAAAATAGGTGGTACGTCAAAAGATGACATTCTTACCTCAAGACACCAGTGGCTGGGGCAAATACATCATAGGATTTCGTCTCGGCTTCAGACGTTCCCAAGTTCACCACTGTTATATCCCATGTTCCCAGAGCATTGTTATATATTGCTTCAGTGACTTTGTGTCAAAGCCGAATGAAAGGTACAATTCCGAATTTTTGGGCAAAGATTTTGAAATATTTCTTGATTTCACCCGCACCGGAATAATATCTTTGAATGGTGTGAGTGTGAGATGCACAGAAAAACCGCCCACTCTGGCCAGTCTGTGTAGGGTGCAAACGAGTACTGGTAGGCAGCACTTGGAACATTGCCTTCATGATCCTCAGTCTTAGCGGGGGGGACAAGTAATGACAGGCTTACATCGACAACCAGGATAACGGTTTGCGTGCCTATAAAAACGAGTTAGGACTAATTGGAGGATGGTGTTATCTGTCCTACCATGTGCCGCTGTAATCTATAGTAGGTAGCATCATAAGCAAGTCGGTAAACACTTAGACACTGAAGACACTACTGTCGTCTTTCTCGAACAGGACAAACTTGATGGGTCCAAGTACACCCTTTTTCTGTGCTTCAATGATTTTATATGCAAGGCACAGTCCAGCCACTCCTGCACCACATCTAACATGTAAAACTTAAGATTTGTGGAGAAACATAAGATGCTGCAGCTCACATAGCAATACGCAAAGGCTGCAGACGAAAACCTGGAAAAAAGGGATCTGCACTGTTGTAAATCCTGCGATATCGAGAACACTTACCAGGTTTGTTGAGATAGTTCCAGTCGCTCAACGTAACATTGCTAGTGTTACTTGTCAGAACGCCTTTTGTGTCATCGGTTTTGCGTCTGAAACAATGAAACATGGTGGAAAGAGGCTGATGTACTCAGAATTCTGCGACAAGAAGAGTGGCTCCTTATATATGTACCAGTGGCGAAGCGTCACCGGATGACGTGTTGGTGGGAAAAGAATACATGAAACAGAGATTTCGATAGTCACCTGAAGCACAGCGAAGATGCAAACCATACTTGAACAGGGCCTCTTAGTATACAAGCCTCCAACCCGTGTCTTCATCACAATTGCTGGACCCTCGTACCTCGGGACCCAGCAACCTGACTATGACATGGGTTTTCGGCTTGTTGGGGCCTGCCCCAAAACCCGGCTTATCACTGGGGATATTGGTTGAGTAAAATCTTTATTAAGAGACTCTGAGCTGTTGAGAATAGATGTCAGCAGGGGGTATGAATGTACTATACTGTTTTATTTAATTCAAACCTTGGTATGACATGACATGTATTTGGACCAATTTGAATGCTCAAACAGGACATTAGGGGTGGTCAGAGTTGTGATTCTGACATGATTATAGCATGATTATAGCAACAATTATGGATGCAATTTTGTTGACAGAATATGGGAGAATTGTGAATCATGCAGAATTGTTGAATTGTCTCCAAGAGGCGATTCAATGATTCTCAGTCATGGTGATTATAGTTTTGATTATCCTTGTCAATCCTTGATGTCAAAAGCTTAGTAGCTACCTTACATAACAGACTTCAGAATCATGGTCAGAATCATCAAAGAGCCAAGGGACAGTCAAAGTTCCTCATGATTTTGTCACAATTATAAAACCATAATCACCTTCAGAATCGTGGTGAGAATCACCTCAGAATCACAACTCTGACTGTCCCCTATTGAGGATGCATGATGGACAAAAAATATTTAAATCTCAAAATTTGGAGTTAGGGATGTACACTGTACTCTTATGGATATGACCATAGCAATGCAGCCATAGACCATATAAAAATTACTGGCTATGGTATGGTACAGTTGATGTGATATCTGTACCGTGTCCTGGGTCCATACTATTGTCCATATATGAACACTTTGATTATGAAAATGGATATCTGGTGTGAAAGTGTGAGTGTTATGTGCTTCTTTTAGGTCATAGGTACTGATCTTTATGGCATAAGATAGTCTTCTGTCCCTCCCTCAACAACTGTATTTAAACTGTGTGAATACAACTATATTTTGGGTCATTAAAGTTGGCTATAGTATGGAATCGTATCTGTATATGCTATATGTAGCCACCATACTATGGATACAGTGCACATCCCTATCATTTATTGACCTACTACATTCACAGCTATCAACTTTACATAGACAAAGATCAGAAAATATGAGGGGAATCAAGAAATGATGTACCACTCACTTTAAGTATGCAGTATATATTATCCCAGGCAGCTCTGTTCACAGCCATATGCATGGCCATGACAATCATAAATGTAACCATCCATACTGTTCCAACTTCCAAGAGTTGATTGGGCATTGACAGTACCATTATGGGAACAGCTGTGGCCATAGCTGACCTCCTCCTCTATGGCTGTATTTGTAACAGTACAGTGCAGATCCCTACATATAGTTGAAGTACAATTATTGAAGAAGTAGTAGGTGTAGGCGACCTTATGATGATATTAAAGCAAATAAATATGATTTCAATGAAGCTAATAACACTCACCAAGTTTCAATGACATGCTGCTTACTACATATTAAACATGTATTAGTAATATATGTATGCCAATGCAAGTAGTACATGGTCAAAACATAGTATTAAAAAAACACACAAAGAAAGAAGAGTGGAGAGGAGAAAGTAGTTACAGAATATTCAATGCACATGCTGGTAAATGACAAAATTATGAATGACACTGTATGCATACTGGACATCTCAGTGTATCTCCTGGTACTTGAATACAAAAGTACAGAGAGTATGAGACTTCCAAGTCTTGAGGCAAAGCCAAAATAATAACATCTATCCCGATGCAGCAAGGGCACCCAGCGGCCAAGCTCACATTGATTAAGGCCGGTGGCAACGTGGCAATGTTCAAACTCAGCCAGAATAGTCCGTGGCAAGGGAATGGCCGGTATATTCAAAGTCCGCTAATTTTACATAAGCAAATCCTGTGGCTGTGGTCCACCTCTCTTAATATATAGATTTGAATATAACTTCTCTTTCCGTTCTATTGTGATGCCAATTTTATTTTTATCTTATAGAGGACAATATAGGTCATCATATCACCAATGAAAATCAAGTCAAGGAGCCTTGTATCGGTCAGGAAAAAATCAATGATGAGTGATTTGTGAGTGATATGAATTTTAGAAAAACAAGAATACAGTATTAGAAAAAAGTGAGGGCATCGGGTTGCATAAATTGGTGTCGCAAATCGTTTTACTAGTTATAAGGATGGATTTTTCCTGCAGAACCATGGGCCAGAGATTACTTGTTGTGGTGCTACAGGCAAGACGAACCAGAACCACTTTTCAGAGCCGTGAGAAAATACTCTAAATTGGGAAACGGTGGCCCAAATTTGGCGCACGGAAACCGGTGTACAGAGGTGCCGGTAACCGGTAATTTTGGACTTTCCTCGAAAAAATTCACCATGCTATCAAATCATTATGGAATCACCTAAAACTCATAACGTATACTCTTAAACATAGCTTTGACATTATTATATACTTTACTGGATGAAAAATGGATGAGGGAGGTTTTAAAATCCATCGGAAATTTGCCTGTACATCCGACCGGGTGATGACTGTAGAAAGTTGTAGTACATTCTAGATTACATTGCGAAGTAGTATAAATACAGGCTCTGTAGGAGCCTAGGAATAACAAGTTCATATCAACTGGCCTTACCAGCCAGGAGTCTACCCTGTGCAACACCGAGGATTCCAACATTTCTTTTTGTTGGGATTTGGCAATCCGGCATCATGCCGAGTCTGCTTATTAAGGAAGAAGTCTGAGGAAAAGCGTGGAAAGTTCTAGTAAAAGTACATTTAGTATAAAAGTAGGTACTTTAGCATAGATCCTCATGCGTTTGCAGAGCTCAGCCAAGCGCAATACTAATGGCTTGCTACCGTGCATGTGACACTGGGAACGAACCGATACCCCGTTTTCCAACACTTTTATCGCATTCGTCCTCGTACTGATTCCTCTCCCATGGCATCTCCAGGCCTGTAATTCGGGGACGTGCCTCTTCGTGATATGAACGGCACTGGCGCTCTTGAATGTCTTCTTGAATAGTATTGTATGGCATAATAATGTCGTTGATTGGGTGCCTGTGTGCTCTTTTCATTGAGTGTGGCGTACATTGAACGGACGAAATTAAACCTTGGCAACAAGAATTAACATCGCCGCCTCAGTGGCTATTCCCGCGGCGTCTCTCTGTATCAGCCGTCGCCTGTATAAAATTTCTGCTTGTCAAACAGTGTCTATTACGCGCCAAGATGTATGCTCTCTTTTTTTTTTTTGTTCTTTCAACATTTCATGTTAAGCTGCTTTTTTTTGCCAGAAACGACGAGATATATTCATCGATCTGGCTATTGAAGTGGGCCTGCCTCTCCTTGAACTCCCACTTCGTGAGCTGTGACCTTTCCCTTTCATTTTATAGAGGTCGCTAATGCGAAGTTAAGACTATATCGTCAACGGACATTGTTACGACCTTCTTGAAGACGTCGGATGCACCGTCGTGGCCTACAACACCGCACCTGCGTACCCCTTGGTTTACGTTTCGCTTCTTATCTGCTCCATTTTCTGTTGTACGTCTATCTTCTTTTCACATTATCAACTGGAGTTAATTCCCCAGCAGTTTTCACCATCCGTTCTTTCCTTCTCCATCGGCTCCAATTCAACCAGTTCCTTTCTTCCAATTCTTCTTTGACCGCCAACCGGTATTTCCGCCTTATGGCTCTAGCCTCTATCGAGTTGTTCGTGAATACAATTTCCGGCTATGGCCTCTATATCAATATCAACCGGGGGGAGATCCACCCCTGGGTGAGCTGAGCTAACACCCACTATGGCTGGTTATGCCCTCGCCATTCTTCAAGTTCGTAAGCTGGGATGCATCCCAATTACCTCTATCTGCGTTCGTCTCCGTATCCACTTTGGTTATTTGTTATGTATGCTACTTAAATAACTGTACTAGTAGCCTGTTCTCGAAAGATCCCAGGAGTTCTAGTGGCAAGACGCTTTTGATTCTGGGCCACCAGCTTCACTCGGCGACGCTGTCTCACACCTATGTATGCTTAGCATGCCGATGATGTTGATCCAATGAAGTCGTTGCGGTCATACTGCAGTCTCACAGGCCAGACGTCTCATGAAACGAAGAAATGCAACAGCATATGGTCGTCATACATTCAAGACAAACAGCGATACTAGTACATTCAAGCTAGTCATATGGGAAATTGACGTACAAACATTATACGTATTCAACCACCTGCTCTACTTACGCCTTGCTGGCCTGCGCTATGATCGAGTTCACCTTGAGGTGCTGGTCGACTATGACGTGATCCGCAAAAGTGACCTTGACCTGGGGACCAAAGATGAGCGCATGAGACGAGCCACCAAAGTGGAACATCCCGAGCTCATCACCAGTCGAGACCTTCTGTCCACTCTTAACGGAAACCGTACAAGTCGACACCTCTGCCATTCCAACACCGATGAAGGCGACGAGTCCAATGACTGGGTTGTCAGCTTGGATGTAGATGATGGCACGAGTGGAGGAGTGGGTGAGCCATGCCTGAGAGCGAATGAGGGCTCCGTGGGGATCGCCGGGCTGGAGATCGGGATCACCGACTTCAGCTCCAGCGTCGGGGATGACGGCATAGTAAGTTCCTGGAACGACCTCTGCACGGGTGATGGTACCATCGATGGGGCAACGCCAGCGATGATAGTCCTGCGGGCTGAGGAATGCCTGATAGACCGTTCCACCGACGAAGGACTGAGCCGCGGCGGCGTCGCGGTAGAGCATATCGTAGATGGAGTAAGCCTGGCCCTTGAGCCAGAACTGGTCGTGATCTTTGACACCGGTCCGGATACGATACACGGTGGACTCGCAGGCGCTGTGGATGAGAGTTTTGTTCTCGGGGAAGTCGATGGGGCGAGCTTGGGCTTGAATCTCACGGGTGAAGAAATGGTCCCAAGAGGTGAAGCCACGGTTGACTGCATCAGGATCAGGACACACGTAGGTCGCGTTGAACTCGCCGCGACCCTCGGCCTCAAGACTCTCTAGGCCGACAGAGCCGAACCAACCCTCATCGTCATCGGTGAGCGACTTGTTGGAGTCGGGAGTCGTGAGGTACGTGCCCCAAGCATCCAACAAGTCCTTCAGGGCAACGTTGAATGCCTGCTTGCGAAAGAGGTCATAGGCTGCACCGGTGTTGCTAAGGAGGTCGAAGAGGAGATACATGGGGACACCGATAGGTTCCCCAATGACGTTGCCGGCCTCGTCCGTGGCGATGTGGAACTTCGGCGGCCCGACAATAATTTCATCCAACAAGTAAAGCAACTGGTCAAAGCTTGTGATCTGAGTATAGAAACGAGTTACTGTGAGGAGGCGGCAAGTAGTAGGGATAGAAATGTACCTGGTTTTCCGTAGAGGCTTGCAGGAAAATCTGATTCCACAAGTCGACCATCTCAGGATCGGCATTGATAGCAGCTTGGAAGTTTGCGACAGGTTCGGTATGGGCGGCCCTGGTCCTGTGTCTAGGCGCGCTGAGCTGAATGGCATGTCGGATGAAGCTCTTGTGAATCGCAGGATTTGCTGGGAGCCATCCACCGTAGCGAGTCAGAGTTGTCTTCCGATGCTGTGACATTGTCCTGGACAAGAAGACGTCAGCGAGTATGCTCGAAATACGGGGCGAGAACAGCGTACAGAATGTCTTTGTTCTCGAGATGTAATGGGTGATACCAGAGTGAGTTCTGATGTCGATGCAGAGGATATGGTCCCCTTTTTATACAGAGAGTAGGTGACCATCGAAGAAATAGATTTTGTCATGTGGACACGATATCAATGGTAGGTTGGTCGGTGAAGTTTGGACCTGGGATAGTATGGAATCGCCGTCAATGGAGCACCAGGTAATACAGGATGAATGCACGACACATCTATATAATTAGTATAACATGTTCGGTAGGTTATGTCATGAGCCCTGCCTACCTAGTGCCACGATTATTGTGCAAATGCCATTATAAGAACGTTTCCTGATTATCCTTCCAGTTAATATATTCGACAAATGGTTGGAAATCTTCCAATTCGTCCATGAGAAAACTTGGAACTCGGAAGGAGCGCTTCCTCTCCTAAATTTGAGTAATTATGCTCCTGGTCGAATTGACCTAAAAAATACTTAGTACAACGACAGCTTGCATGGTCAGCTGTTGTGCAACATACAATACGATGGAGGTCTTATGTCGTTTGAAGTGCACCCGTATACGCACTTGAATCGTAATAGTATTGAGTCTCATCCTATAGCTGACAGAAGTCCTGCCAACACGACCGGAGGTCCAAGTTCACCGGAAGAAACCTTCGGAGTTTGTCGTGGAGGGTTCCCAGCTTATGAAATGAAAAGCTACTGAACTGTGAGTTGGCTGCGGGCAAGATACTGAGAAAAGGCTTGCATTAGCTACTAGCGGGCTCGGCTAGCTTATACGGCGTAATCCTGAGTCCTACTTTTGTCACTTTTTTGCGTTCTCATTTGGCCCAGCATTTGTACTACACGCAGGCATCTGCTCCCATTTAGGTCCTGTCTCGTGTCAACCTGCCTAAGGCCACCAGCTTTCACGGAATGGATCGTTTTGACAATAGCATGGTTGCCGGAAGCGTTACGATATTTGTCGATTGACGTTCTCCATCCAGGGATGGTGAGTAAGAAAGTAGCAGAGTAAGAAGCCAGGGTCGCCTAAAAGCGGAGCTAAGCTTCAGTCGATTCGACCAATCACTGAGCTGTATAAAGACGTACTGCAAGGAAAGTCATTAGAACATGGTAGCTGCATAGTGTGGGCCTTATTACTCGTATAAGTGGGATACGCCCACACTCCTGTGAATATCACACATAGGAGACGCTAACTGCTGCCAGTGCTTTTCAGCTAATCGAGGCGCCAAGCAACCGGTGCGTGAAACTGAAGGACGCCGCCGAAATGAATGGAAGAGGCATATGTCAAGGCTGTACTTCCAAGTGACTCGTCGATACGTAATATCCAACCCCAACCTCTCAATGACCCCTCATTTGTGGTCATGCCGTCTCCAATACATCGCCGTCGATAATGTTCATCACGAGACATACCGAATAACAGCTGGCTCTACAAACGTGCAAATCATAGCGGTCATACATCA